TGACCCTGGCCAAGAGGTCTTCCTGATGTGTGGGCATGCCTGTGATGGTTCGACCACTGAGGAGGCCACCTGGACTGTCCCGTTGCCACCATATCGTCTGAACGCCCCAGAAAACTGTGCCAAAGAGTTTAGAAAACAAATATACAATAAAAGTAAACACACAAACACCAAACAGCAAACTTCAGGTAACTATTTTGGATTGCGAACAAAGATAAATTTAATGTTCAAACAATCTGATAAAATAACCATTTGGAAACTGCTTGGCCTTCTGTTCTCTTTTCTTTGATTGACTACAATGCGGTATTGGTCTCTTGCTGCACTTCAAAACCAACTAACTGACAAAAAGATAGATAGTTGTACGTGAGAACTTTTCGTGGTGAAAGTGGCACTTGGAAACAGTTCTATTTTTCCACTCAAGATAAATAAAATGGTGTCAAACATTCCCTTGCCTACACACTTCAATATTTTTTTTCAAGGTGTGCTGGGCTGTGATTACCATGAATCTGTGTTCATTCTTTTCCCTTTCACTTGGGAACAGACATCCTAACTTAGGTTTTGGAACCCTTCAGCAATAAGGGATGTTGTGAGCTTTGGTCCCTATTGATTTTGCAGTTGTGAGGAGGCATCTTTGCTGGCTGTCAAAGAAAGTAAAGTTTTTTGCTTTGTTTTTAAATTTTTTCTTCCTGGTATTTGGAAGACAAACAACTTTCATTTCCATCCTAGCAAAAACATGGGCTTTTATTTTTTCTTTTGTCTCTTCCTTCACCATCTTCTCTATCCAGGCTGTCCATTCATTAGTGGGTAGGCTTGTTTTGCCCATCCATGAAGCAGCATCTCTAGTAGCTCTTGTACAGGGTATCAGATATTGTGCCTTTTGGTGCCAGGTTCAAAGTCAAGTGCCGATCTATGAACCAGTGTACAAAAAAAAAAAGGAATCCAGGTGTTTGAAGGAGAGACACTCCATTGTGAACAGAGCTTGCACCAGCTCCAATCCTAGGCCCTGTTGGAGGCCTGGCCCTTTAATGCCTTGTTTTAATTTTAGCTGTTCACCATTCCTGGTCTTTGATAGGGATGGGCTGGGGCCTAGGGAGAGGCAGGAATATTAGGGAGTAAAAAAATCTGATCATTCCTCAGTGCTACCCATTTCTGTCCTGTGTGGGCTGCTGAGCTAGACAGCAGGAGAATAAAGTACACTGAGAACCGTGATGAAAGCAAAGCCTTCCGTGTGTTTTGTCATGTTTTGTTCCAGGGGAGCCGTTGGCAAGTGCTGTTATTGATGCGATCCCCCAGATCCATTCGGTGATGGAGAGGAGGGTGGGCTGAGCAGATTGTGGGCTTGGTGCCTCGCAGTTACTCTGCTCGGGTTGTGCGCGTAACTGGCTTCTTTTCTCGTTCTTTTTGGCCAGTGGGCTTTCCGTAGTCTAGGCACTGCCCTTAATCAGTTGCACCACCTAAAGTGACTGGATGCAAGATGCCTTCTGTCCACTCACTGGTCTGGGCCTTCCCCGCCCTAGTCTTGGCACATTCCTTCAAGAATGTTATCTTCTGTCTGGGAAGATGTCGGTGCAAATGTGGAGAATACGGGCATGGGACTAGGCTTTGGTTTGTCACAGTGGCAGCTGCCTGTATCCTTACAATGACCTTTATACATTTTTTTCTTTCTCCCAGTATCCCTCAACTCCCCTCTGTTGAAATGTTGGCTGTCAGAGGCAAGTACAATTTTGCCTTAGGGACTTGTGGGGAAGGGAGGGGGACTGCTCAGTGTAGTGTTTTAACTTTCACAACTAAGCAATCTAGTCACTCTTATATTGAAGTGTTAGTCTGACTACAAGAGAAGTCCAAACTCCATCAGCTTTTGAGAACATCTTGGTTTCTGAAATAACTTCAATCTGTAATTGGCCTTCAGAATGCCCTTGGCATGCCAGTCTGTGATGGCATTAAAGACCTGTTAAAACATTTGAGTCCAACTTGATTAACCAAAACTGATACCACCACCTTTATCTTCTAAATAAAGTCCGCTTTATTTTTATTTTCAACATTTTGCTGTTTCATTCTTGGTTTCAGATGGTGTTGCCTCCCTGGAGGTAAACTGAATGGTTTGAAAGAAGCTGGAGTGTTGTGTGGTGATAGTTGTGTGTGTGAGTTGGGGGAGAGGAAGGGCACATGTCCATCGTCTTCGGGTGCTGTAGAGTGTAAGTGAGGGCAAGGGGAGAAGCTGCCCGGCAGGGGTTTCTGGTCGGAGCATTCAACTTGTGAAGTCGTGCTGGGATTGGCTGCTGCACCTCTTTCAGGCTGACGACCTGATCTCTTCATCCAAAGGTGGGCTTTTTGACGTATAGTTGGCAGCGTGTTTCCTTTCTACTTCCACGCTGCCCTAACCCCCAGGAAACGTGTTGAGGGAAGAGCACTAGCTTGGGGTGTAAAACACTAGGTCCTTCCTCCTGCCACTGCCTAGTGTAGTGGCGCTTGTCGGCTACTTTATGGAAATGGGCACTTAAGTTTAGGTTGGGCAGGTGAAATGAGGGCTGGTCTTAATTTTTCCTCCCTTCGCCTCATGTGGCCTTTCACCTTTTCTGATTGCACACCCTGTCAGGAATTTCTGATCATGCTTTTCTCCCCTGTGTTTATAAATTATATACTCGTAATACTGTACCTATATATTGTGTAATCCTAAGACACAAAAATAGACATTAAAGAGTAATTATATGAAAAATAAATCTTAAAAAGTTCTAATATTTTCTTTCTTCACCCAAGTTTGGAGTTTACTGGGCTATAGAGGGTCATTTGTAATTGTTTATAGGATTGCATGAGATTCTGATTGGCCAAGGGTAGTCCCCCTGCTAGCGAGGTACTTGGAGCAAAGAATGATGTCAGTTAATTATCGAGTGGTAGGGAGGGACTGCTCCCAAGTGTGTGTGTTGGGGGCGGGGGGGGGGGGGGGGGGGGGGCCGGGGCTAAATAGTCGCCCAGGCTTCTCCCAATGCCATATTAACCACCCCTGCAGCCAGCACCGAAGTCGTGGTGAATGGTTACAGATCCGCCCAGTGTCAGTGACCCTAGTTAGACCTGTGTGGAGTGAAAAACAGTAAGGAGATGTATTACAGTAATTCTCAAGACAGCCTTAACCATCACCATCTCCATTGTACTGATGAGCAAGGAGGGCCACAAAGATGTGCTCGTGGGACCCAGCTAGGTTCTCACACTCCCACACTCAGGTTTTTCACCCTTGACCCTGGCCAAGAGGTCTTCCTGATGTGTGGGCATGCCTGTGATGGTTCGACCACTGAGGAGGCCACCTGGACTGTCCCGTTGCCACCATATCCCCAGTCTGGAGCAGGCCCTGGCATGTAGTGGGCCTTTGAGAAGTGGTTTAACTGATGAGTGACATGTCCTCCCCATAGAGGGACTCTGGTGGCATCACCCTTTGAAAGGCAGAACATCCAAAAGCCTGGAGTGGCAGGGCCTCAGGAGATCTGACCGCCTAGTTTGGCCTCCCCTTATGTGCTGGTGACGCCAGGCTATCTTCGCCTAGAACAGCCAACGGTAAGGTCTTAGGGGATGGCTGTTAGATGCCCTGAACAGGGTGGTGTGTGAGAGTAAGGGATGTGATCCTCCGTTGCTGTGGGTTATAGCAGTCCCACCCACTGCCCAGGTCAGAAGGGTTCCTGAGGTCTTCCAGACACAGTTTTTCTGGGAGCAGACAGCATCTTGCAAAGCAGCTGGTGAATTTGAACTGCCAAACTTGAGGTTAACAACACATTGCTCAACCCAACAGCGCCACTAGGGCCCCTCACGCTAGAGCAAAGCCACCATTTTACTCCCTGTTTACGGATGAGAAAATACAATGAGCGGCTTCACTCAGTCTCAGTGGTCACACACGCGGCTGCCCGCACAGGCTGTGCTTCGAGTGACTGCCGCCGCCGCAGGGACAGCTCCATGACTTTGTCCTAGTTTGTTCCACAGAAGCAGTTGACAAAGGCTGTTCTTAATGCTTTTCCCCAGATCATGTTCAAAACAGCACTAATACAGATTCACAGCTACTCAGCACAATGTTGTAGCTAAAAGCCAAAGCTTTAGAAGAGCGGCACCAAGGAGAGCGCAACATAGACTGTGGTCACATGACTTCAACAGCGCTGGAATTGGGTAAGGATGACAGCTCTGACCAGAGAAGACGAGAAGGCTCTAAAAGTAATTGAGTGTAGAATTTTAGCCTTGGCGCTCTATTGATATGTCTAAGCTTACAAAAAATGTTGTTGCTGTAATGACGGGTTATTTTATAAAACAATTTCTGCTGAAACACTGCACAAAAATGTTTTACCACCCCTCGTGACAGTGTCATCTAATTACCCCTAGTGACAACTCATGCAGGTTGTTGAGTAGATGAGGCTCTGAGGCTGACCAAGTTTCAGTAGCGCTTCCAGGCTAAGGCAGACTAGGCAGAAAGGCCTGGAGATGTGCTCGAGAGAAATCAATGAAAGTCACGATGCTCCAGCCCACAACTGACTGTGGGGGTGGCATTGGACCTGAGGACACTTGTCCAGGACCTACAGCATTTTGATCTGCTGTGCATGGGGTTGCCACAAGTCAGAACCCACCCCCCACTAGCAATGCTGAAAGTGGGGCTGTCACCGAAGGGTTTGTTGAATCCATT